TAAAATATTTAATAAATCTTGAATATTTACTTAATGAACCTTTTAAAATTCTTCTAAAATATCAAATAAATAACTAATTAACCTTTTAAAATATTCCATAAATAATTATAATTTTAATTATCAAGATCTCAATTTAATTTTAAAGATTAATTCAGAATAAAAAAATAATGAACCTAATAACTTCCTGTTCTATACTTCAATTCCAAATTAGTTGAACAACTTTAATTATATAATAGTTTAAATTCATATTCAAATTTAATTATATCTTACTGTATTATAAAAATTATTAAAATTTTCAATAAATTTTGAATAAATATCAAGTAGGCCTTTTAAAATTGTTCGAACCACTTAAGCATAAGCAAGACGTAAAAACACTTATAAGGAATCTAAAATTATAAAAGAGTCTTTGTAAGAAATTTATATCTATTTTGATATTCTATTTATCAAAAACCTAAGCTATGAAAAAAATTATAAAAATGGTAAAATAAAAGCCCTTATAAGCTTTCAATATACTCATTAAGATAAGTTTAAATAATTTAATTTAATACACACATAAAAAGAGAGAGGAAAATGATATATAATAAGAAATTAAGATCTAAGAAGTAACTAAGAAAAAATAAGGATCAAGAGAAAAAATAATAACAAACAAATTATTAAATATAGAAAGAAAATTAGGATTAATAATAAAGTAAATAAATAAACATAATGATAAAATATAATAAAATAAGTTAACAAAAAAGTATATATCAATTCTCACTCTCAATAAAAATTGAAGTCCTACATTTTAACTGCACTGTTTCATTTTAAGATTAATCCCCGACCTCTACCATTCTCACCCCTTTTGCCGCTGCAAGTCTCCATCTCCATGCCTCCTGTGATTCATCATCTCCACGCCTCCTCTTACAATTCAATCAATTTGTCCAACACAATCCACAGCAAGCCCATGTAAGATCAACAATGGAGACAGGACCCATCTATCTATCTATCTCTCATTTCTCTTTGGTTTTCTCTCTCTAATTCTTAGTATACAAGAGTTATTAAAGACCAACAATAGAGAGCTAGAAGCTAGCAAAGCAGAAGTCCAGTTTCGGGCTCCACACCACTATGGTTTGCAGAGAGAGAACTAGGGAGAGAAGTTTCATAACACAGAGTTAAAGAAATCCAATTTTAAGGGCAATGATATTATGCATCATGATGTTAAGGTCGTTTCATGAAGTTTTCCTTTGATTCTTTCTCTATCACCTTCGTTGTGGTTCCTGTTAAACAAATTGAATGAATTGCAAGAAGAGGCGTGGAGATGATGAATTTCCGGAAGCGTGAAGATTAATTTTTAATGAAACGGTGTCATTGTAGTTTAAGACTTCAAATTTTATTGAAAGTCGAAATTGATATACATTTTTTTGTAAGAGATAGAATTTCAAGAAAAATTAATGAAAGATAATATATAAGTAAATAAAAAAGTATTAAGAGGAGAAAAATTTTGTAAAAAATATATTTTAATGGATTAAGATTTTAAAAAATGACTAAAAAGGATAATAGAGATGAGAGAATAATGAGAGAAACAATAATAATAAATAAATTATTAATATAAAAGAAAATGAAGGAAATAATGTATGAACTCTTGGTTTATAATGGTAAAAACTAATAATTTTTTTGGATATATATACAAATTAATTTCATATATCACTAAATTATTTATGATTTTAAGATTTTTATAGATTATTATGATTTTGAAAAAAATAAAAATAGCTAAAGATAGACAAAAAAGAAAAATTGAGTAAAAAGATGAATAATAATAAATAAAGATGAGACGAATAACTAAGGAGGAATAATAATAGAGTGGAGG